TAGTGTGCATATACACTGAGGACCCCAATGGAAATATACACTGAGGACCCCAATGCAAATATACAGTGAGGACCCCAATGGAAATATACACTGAGGATCCCAATGGAAATAAGTCACTTTGTCTGACTTTTTTGGGTTATCCTAGGTTCTCTACACATATGCTGCTATGTATGATAATTCTATGTAACTGTATTTGTGTATACCTGAATAAACTTACACTCAGAGTGTATATACACTGAGAAGCACAACTCTGGGTGTATATACACTAAGAAACACCACTCTGGGTGTATATACACTAAGAAACACCACTCTGGGTGTATATACACTGAGAAACACCACTCTGGGTGTATATACACTGAGAAACACCACTCAGAGTGCATATACACTGAGAAACACCACTCAGAGTGTATATACACTGAGAAACACCACTCAGAGTGTATATACACTGAAAAACACCACTCAGAGTGTATATACACTGAGAAACACCACTCTGGGTGTATATACACTGAGAAACACCACTCTGGGTGTATATACACTGAGAAACACCACTCAGAGTGTATATACACTGAGAAACACCACTCAGAGTGTATATACACTGAGAAACACCACTCAGAGTGTATATACACTGAGAAACACCACTCAGAGTGTATATACACTGAGAAACACCACTCTGGGTGTATATACACTGAGAAACACCACTTAGAGTGCATATACACTGAAAAACACCACTCAGAGTGTATATACACTGAGAGACACCACTCTGGGTGTATATACACTGAGAAACACCACTCAGAGTGTATATACACTGAGAAACACCACTGTGTTAACAAGCGGAATATGACAACAAGAGAAAGAGACTACGGGTTATATAAACAAGAATAAATTAAACTTTCGTATTTTTATTTTTCCACAAACAATCTTTTATAAAATATTTATAATAAGTAAACACACAGACACACACACGCGGGGCCAGGAGCTGCGAATCAACCCCTGCAACCACAAACACAAATGAAAAATACTTTTAAGGTCAATTGAGAACAATGTTGTTGGAAATAAGGACCATGTTGGGTTTAAGGGTTATGTAGGAACCATGGACCGTGTTGGGTTTAAGGGTTATGTAGGAACCATGGACCGTGTTGGGTTTAATGGTTATGTAGGAACCATGGACCGTGTTGGGTTTAATGGTTATGTAGGAACCATGGACCATGTTGGGTTTAAGGGTTATGTAGGAACCATGGACCGTGTTGGGTTTAAGGGTTATGTAGGAACCATGGACCGTGTTGGGTTTAATGGTTATGTAGGAACCATGGACCATGTTGGGTTTAAGGGTTATGTAGGAACCATGGACCGTGTTGGGTTTAAGGGTTATGTAGGAACCATGGACCATGTTGGGTTTAATGGTTATGTAGGAACCATGGACCGTGTTGGGTTTAAGGGTTATGTAGGAACCATGGACCGTGTTGGGTTTAATGGTTATGTAGGAATCATGGACCATGTTGGGTTTAAGGGTTATGTAGGAACCATGGACCACGTTGGGTTTAATGGTTATGTAGGAACCATGGACCATGTTGGGTTTAAGGGTTATGTAGGAACCATGGACCGTGTTGGGTTTAAGGGTTATGTAGGAACCATGGACCATGTTGGGTTTAAGGGTTATGTAGGAACCATGGACCATGTTGGGTTTAAGGGTTATGTAGGAACCATGGACCATGTGGTTTAAGGTATTATAATTTGGTTTATTATGTAGGAACCATAGACCATGTTGGGTTTAAGGTTATGTAGGACAACCATTAGACCATACGTTGGGTTTAATGGTTATGTAGGAACCATGGACCATGTTGGGTTTAATGGTTATGTAGGAACCATGGACCACGTTGGGTTTAAGGGTTATGTAGGAACCATGGACCATGTTGGGTTTAAAGGTTATGTAGGAACCATGGACCATGTTGGGTTTAAGGGTTATGTAGGAACCATGGACCGTGTTGGGTTTAAGGGTTATGTAGGAACCATGGACCATGTTGGGTTTAAGGGTTATGTAGGAACCATGGACCATGTTGGGTTTAATGGTTATGTAGGAACCATGGACCATGTTGGGTTTAAGGGTTATGTAGGAACCATGGACCATGTTGGGTTTAAGGGTTATGTAGGAACCATGGACCATGTTGGGTTTAAGGGTTATGTAGGAACCATGGACCATGTTGGGTTTAAAGGTTATGTAGGAACCATGGACCATGTTGGGTTTAAGGGTTATGTAGGAACATGGACCATGTTGGGTTTAAGGGTTATGTAGGAACCATGGACCATGTTGGGTTTAAGGGTTATGTAGGAATCATGGACCATGTTGGGTTTAAGGGTTATGTAGGAACCATGGACCATGTTGGGTTTAAGGGTTATGTAGGAACCATGGACCATGTTGGGTTTAATGGTTATGTAGGAACCATGGACCATGTTGGGTTTAAGGGTTATGTAGGAACCATGGACCATGTTGGGTTTAAAGGGTTATGTAGGAACCATGGACCATGTTGGGTTTAAGGGTTATGTAGGAACCATGGACCATGTTGGGTTTAAGGTTATGTAGGAACCATGGCCATGTTGGGTTTAAGGGTTATGTAGGAACCATGGACCATGTTGGGTTTAAGGGTTATGTAGGAACCATGGACCATGTTGGGTTTAAGGGTTATGTAGGAACCATGGACCATGTTGGGTTTAATGGTTATGTAGGAACCATGGATCATGTTGGGTTTAAGGGTTATGTAGGAACCATGGACCATGTTGGGTTTAAGGGTTATGTAGGAACCATGGACCATGTTGGGTTTAAGGGTTATGTAGGAACCATGAACCATGTTGGGTTTAAGGGTTATGTAGGAACCATGGACCATGTTGGGTTTAAGGGTTATGTAGGAACCATGTTGGGTTTAATGGTTATGTAGGAACCATGGACCATGTTGGGTTTAAGGGTTATGTAGGAACCATGGACCATGTTGGGTTTAAGGGTTATGTAGGAACCATGGACCATGTTGGGTTTAAGGGTTATGTAGGAACCATGGACCATGTTGGGTTTAAGGGTTATGTAGGAACCATGGACCATGTTGGGTTTAAGGGTTATGTAGGAACCATGGACCATGTTAGGTTTAAGGGTTAATGTAGGAACCATGAACCATGTTGGGTTTAAGGGTTATGTAGGAACCATGGACCATGTTGGGCATAAGGGTTATGTAGGAACCATGGACCATGTTGTGTTTAATGGTTATGTAGGAACAATGGACCATGTTGGGCTTAAGGGTTATGTAGGAACCATGGACCATGTTGGGTTTAAGGGTTATGTAGGAACCATGGACCATGTTGGGTATAAGGGTTATGTAGGAACCATGGACCATGTTGTTTAATGGTTATGTAGGAACCATGCACCATGTTGGGCTTAAGGGTTATGTAGGAACCATGGACCATGTTGGGTTTAAGGGTTATGTAGGAACCATGGACCATGTTGGGTTTAATGGTTATGTAGGAACCATGGACCATGTTGTGTTTAATGGTTATGTAGGAACCATGGACCATGTTGGGCTTAAGGGTTATGTAGGAACCATGGACCATGTTGGGTTTAAGGGTTATGTAGGAAGGATCCATGGACCATGTTGGGGTTTTAAGGGTTATGTAGGAACCATGGACCATGTTGGGTTTAATGGTTATGCAGGAACCATGGACCATGTTGGGTTTAATGGTTATGTAGGAACCATGGACCATGTTGGGCTTTAAGGTTATGTAGGAACCATGGACCATGTTGGGTTTAAGGGTTATGTAGGAACCATGGACCATGTTGGGTTTAAGGGTTATGTAGGAACCATGGACCATGTTGGGTTTAAGGGTTATGTAGGAACCATGGACCATGTTGGGTTTACGGGTTATGTAGAACCATGGACCATGTTGGGTCTTAGGGTTATGTAGAACCATGGACCATGTTGGGTTTAAGGGTTATGTAGGAACCATAGACCATGTTGGGTTTAAAGGGTTTGTAGGAACCATGGACCATGTTGGGTTTAAGGTTATGTAGAACCATGGACTATGTTGGGTTATTAAAAACGGGTTAGGGTTAAGAACCAAGGACCGTGTTGGGTTTAAGGTTATGTAGGAACCAAGGGCCTGTTGGGTTTAGGGTTGTGTAGGAACCAGGACCATGTTGGGTTTAAGGGTTATGTAGGAACCAAGGGCCGTGTTGGGTTTAAGGGTTATGTAGGAACCAAGGACCATGTTGGGTTTAAGGGTTATGTAGGAACCATGGACCATGTTGGGTTTAAGGGTTATGTAGGAACCGTGGACCATGTTGGGTTTAATGGTTATGTACGAACCATGGACTATGTTGGGTTTATGGGTTATGTAAGAACCATAGACCGTGTTGGGTTTAAGGGTTATGTAGGAACCATAGACCATGTTGGGTTTACGGGTTGTGTAGGAACCATGGACCATGTTGGGTTTAAGGGTTATGTAGGAACCATGGCCATGTTGGGTTTAACTGGGTTATGTAGAACCATGGACCCTGTTGGGTTTAGGGTTATGTAGAACCAAGGACTGTGTTGGGTTTAAAGGTTATGTAGGAACCATAGGACCATGTTGGGTTTAACGGGTTTGTGTAGGAACCAAGGACCATGTTGGGTTTAAGGGTTATGTAGGAACCATGGGCCGTGTTGGGTTTACGGGTTATGTAGGAACCAATGACCGTGTTGGGTTTAAGGGTTATGTAGGAACCAAGGACTCGTGTTGGGTTTAAAGGTTATGTAGGAACCAAGGACCGTGTTGGGTTTAAGGGTTATGTAGGAACCTAAGCTGTGTGGTTTAAAGGTATGTAGAACCGGAACGTTGGGTTTGGTATGTAGTACCAAATGACCAGTGTGTGGTTCAAAGGGTTAGTAGGAACCAAGGGCGAGTGTTCGGTTCACAAGGTTATGTAAGGGAACCAGGACCGTGAGTATTGGGTTTAAGGTATCTTACATAAAAGAGGCGCTAACCTGAAGCAGATGTGGACATCTCGGAGAAGGATGCCCTGTAGGGCCCCGGGGAAGGGGTTGTGGTACGTGAGTCCCCACCATACTCGCTGCCCACGGGGGTGGTCTCCCCAGACCCCACCCGACGGGTGAACAGGGGCGAGGACTCGCTCACCCCACGACGGGGAGACAACGGTGACACCGTCGGGGGGACCGTGAAGGCTACCTCCCTCGACCTGTGTAACAACAATATTATAATTATTAATATTAATGGTAGGTTCCTAAGACATATTTTAGAGTACATGTATTGACTAGTATTTACCCAACATAAAAAACACATGAATGTTCAAACACACAACTAAATTTTAAATGTTAGAGGTGAGCGAAAGTCAACATTTATGTTAAAGTGATATGTGTTATAATGTTGAGTGTGCAAGACGCATGTGTAGCAGTCTAGTGTGTTCAGTGAGGAGACGTTTCCCACGCTCAGCACCCTTCTTCAGTCGAAATGTGGAGATGTAGATATGAGGTGAACAGTTCCTCGTCCTGGAGATGATGTTAGTTTGAAGTTATCAGTCCCTCGTAATGGAGATGATGTTAGTTTGAAGTTATCAGTCCCTCGTAATGGAGATGATGTTAATTTGAAGTTATCAGTCCCTCGTAATGGAGATGATGTTAATTTGAAGTTATCAGTCCCTCGTAATGGAGATGATGTTAATTTGAAGTTATCAGTCCCTCGTCCTGGAGAAGATGTTAGTTTGAGGGAGGTCATTCCCTCAGCTTCGGTGTGCTCAGGTCCATCACGCTTAAGGTTGAGTCACCAAGTGTTAAGTATCTTGTTTACGAGGGGACTCGTGTTCAGCTCTAACCTTTAATGTGGCTGTAACTCTGTTATAGCACCCGACCTTCAAGGTAGCCAGGTGCCCTGAAACATAAAATAATTATATAGAAAAGCACAAAGGCACAATACCGTGACTGGAACAATACACAAATAACCCGCACATAGGAGAGAGAAGCTACGACGACGTTTCGGTCCGACTTGACCCGATAGTCCAAGTCGGACCGAAATATGATCATAAACCTCACACTCTCTCTCTGCTGTGTGCGGTTTATTTGTGTATTGTTCTTGATATAATATAAACAAAAGACTGCACAGAGGACTGAACTCACCCTTCAGTCCTACTCTAGAGGCTTAGATCACCTGTTGTCAGTCTTAATACCCAACACATGGCTGAACCACAACCAGGACAACCAAAACATGGACCCGTCCACAACTTAATATTCCGGAAAAAGACAAAAACCGCAGCCAATGCTCCGACTTAGTTCTATCATACGTTAGCAGACACCATCAGACAGAATCAGGGCAGTTTCCAGGGTTGGCCGGGCATCCCCCTGGTCCACCACTTGCTCCACCAGTGTCCTCGTCAAGGAGATAGGGAGGTACCTTGATACCGGTGAAGGGCTCTTGATCCAAGTCATCAAAGCTGTCCTATACCTTGGGGTTTCTTAGTTCCCATGTAAATAATAATAATAATAATAATTATAATAACTCCATGGGAAAGTGGAACAATTCTTCCTCCGTAAGCCATGAGTGTGTTAAGAGGCGACTATATTGCCGCGAGGAAGGTGCTAGTAACCTCTTCTCCTGTATGTATTACTAAATGTAAAAGGGAAAAAAACTTGTGTTTCTTCTTTTTCTGGTCACCTTGTCTGGTGGGAGACTGCCGGCGTGTTTAAAAACAAACAATAATAATAATAATGATCAGTGTTCACTGGATAATTAAGTAATTCATGGCAGTTCTTGCATTGTTTGCTCCTCCCACACAGTTAATTACCGGTAATGATAGCGGAACTAAGCCTCATATGTATGTCTTTGTATATATATATATATATATATATATATATATATATATATATATAAATTATACATATATACATTCTTAGAAAGAACGTTCCTATGAGCGAATCTGTTGGGACCTCTTACTAACCATACCCCGGCCGGGATTGAACCAGCGGTCAGAGAGTCTCAAAACTCCAGACCGTCGCGTTAGCCACTAGACCAGCTAGCTATTGTGGCTAGCTGGTCTAGTGGCTAACGCGACGGTCTGGAGTTTTGAGACTGACCGCGGGTTCAATCCCGGCCGGGGTATGGTTTGTTTGCAATCGTGTCATTACGACCTCTTACTAATTTGTGCAACACTGCAAGCTCCTGATGATGTGTTGATTACAATACGAAAGGCCTAGAGCTATCATTCAACTCCCCTGTGGTTGTTTTGCATATATATAGATTTTGAGCTTGTGTTGTTCTGTGTGATAGGCAGAACCACATTGCTAGCCAACAATAAATATACTGTGGGCATCAACCAGGGGCCAGGAGCTAACACTCGACCCCTTGCAACCAAAAATAGGTGAGTACAGTAGCAGGCTGCCATTCTTCCAGGGATACCATCGTGGTGGCAGCAGGGGTGCCTAGGGTGCTGCCTGGTATGGATGGTAAGTGTTCCTGGGGTGGGCGCTGGGTTGT